AGGAAGGGAAGGGAAGGGAAGGGAAGGGAAGGGAAGGGAAGGGAAGGGAAGGGAAGGGAAGGGAAGGGAAGGGAAGGGAAGGGAAGGGAAGGGAAGGGAAGGGAAGGGAAGGGAAGGAAGCCTACACCACCACCAAAATGATGTTGGTTTTTTTTTTGTTTTCTTTTTAAAGTGATGGTTTTTGGTTTGCTTGTTGATTGATTTGTTTTCCTTAGCTGCTCATGTCGCTAGATTCTCCGCATTTATGCTGGACATCCGAATCTGAGAGCTGCTCTTGCTCAGAATGGAGAGTTGTGTCCCCCCGTTCACTCCGCTGCTCGCTAGAGAAGGATGACGATGTTTGAAATCCACAGCAAAATACCGGTTGACTTTCCAGCTCCTCCATTTTCTCTTTATTTCTGATTGCACCTTTAGGGAGAAACTTCAAAAGGTCATTTTTTATGTACTTAGCCGCTCGAGGACATGCTGACAAGTTATCAAGTTCAGAAAAAAAAAAGAAAAAAAAAGAGCAATTTTGAAGGCTATTATTAAACTCCTTACTTCAGAGAAACCTACAGTGATTTCTGCAAGTCTGAAAGAGTGCCAGGCATGACGTGGGGAAAGCACCCTGGGTTCTGAGTTTCTGACTTCAGTTAACTTGGGATCAGCCCATAGGTGCTTAGAAGATGTGCTTGGTACTAACCCAAACATGGTTTTTGAGTTAGCTTTCTGAAAAAAATTATCTCATTTTCATCAGTGGCCAGCGGCGAGCACGTAACAAAGAGCCAAAGGTGATGGACAGTAATCAAATAACCTGTCCAGAAAGGTCTCTCACCTGCAGTTAACAGATGCATGTCTACCGAAAACTTTGCCTGCTGTGTTCAGTTCAACTCTAACTAGATAATAGCTCTTGGGTCCATGTACATCTATGAAATATTCCTTTCCCTGGAGTTTTTTTTAATGTGCACCATAAATCATACACAGTAATTTGTGTTCAGATATCCAGTTAGAAAATTAATAAAAATAAGAACAAAAAATTAATAAACACTTTGATAATCTTTCTGCTTTTCATTTATCACTGATTTCCTGGTGATCTTTCTAGGTGAACACATGTACGTAGTACAGAAGATAATAAGGACTTAACACAAGAAAGATTGTACTGGCTTGGGCCAACATTTATTCATTTGGTAACTCACTTCCAACAGTATCCTATAGCATATTTAAGAAGGAAATAACGTAAGAACTGACAAATGTGGAGATATCCTCCTAACATTTTTTTCCAGCCTTCAATGAGCTTGTGTATCAAAACTTCTTTTTCCCTTTAGCAGAAATTGCTAGATTTTTGTAGACTAATACAGTTGTTATAATGGATCAGCACATTCCAATGTGCTGCACAAGTGCTTTAACAGTATGGGCACTAACTGCAAGGAGGAAAAATCCAACTGGAAAACTTATATTCTCCTTCTAGTACTTTTAATTTTCTTTTTTTTTCGTAGTTATTGTATAGATAGGAATAGATTAGATACATTATGGAAGTATCTATCTGGGTTAGTTTGGTTAAGTACCACTTCTCCAAACCAAACCAAAAGGACAAAAAAGAATAAACCACAGAGGTTAAAAGAACATTGACGCACCATGCAGAATCTTTGAAATGTTCTTATGTCAAGGTTAGTTTAAGACCAGACCTTCTGGGTATTCTTTGAGCGTTCATGAGAGATAATACACGAAAGAACAGGTTTAGGCAGAAGAGACAGATATCCAGTACTGCCAGCTGATGGAATATGAATGCAGCCACCAGAGGAACTGTAGGAACACGTGATTCAGAGCACACCTTCTGAGCTACATGGAGCCACGAACAGTGCACATATACAAGTCCTTTCATGGTCTTCCTGACTATGCCCATGAGCAAAGATAAACTATACATATGTTTGCTGAACTCGAGAAGATTGTTGTTTTCATCTGAGAAGGAATCTCTTGGATAAAGAAGTTAGAATCCCACTGAGCTAGAGACCAGTTATTACACACTGTATCAGAATAAACATGGAATATCTACTGCAATGAAATTGGTAGAATAATTGATCCCAGTCCTCCTAAATAGAAAAACAGAAGGTGGTTTTGTTCCTGCTGGACTGCACAATAAATCTGAATCCGTGAAACAAAGACTGGATGAACAGTACGTATTCCCTTTTAGGCAGAATTGAGTAGGAAGTCTATTTCCACTAATGGAGAAAAGATTTGCCTCATTCATTTAGTTCAATAAACAAAGTCAGGATAATTTCAATTTGCAAATCAGAACAGGTGAATCAGAAATTAGGTCTAATTAGAACTGGCACAAATATACACAAATACATGCACACAAACACGGATTCAACAAGAAACAGTTTCAGGCTTTCAGAAATGCAAAGATGGAGAACTCTTCACAAACATACTTTAAACTGTAGTTCAATATAGTATGTAATATTGTCCTAAACTTAACTCTTTGGCCCTATAGGAAGATAAAGACATAGTGTTGGCCTGTAATATGCAGAAAAAAAAAAAAAAAACAACAGGTTTTCATATCTCCACTCATCATGGCAGATTCTTCTTAGTCAAGTTTTTCAGAGTACAGCAAACACCATGAGAAGGGAATATGTAATGTGAGAAGCCATGACAAGCAGCACTCCCAGTTATCTTCTACAGCTGTAGTGCTTTATAGTACTACAGAATGAAAATAGACAATATCAGCTAGTGGAACTCCATGGAATGAAGGCAAGATAGAGTGTCTGGAGGTTGATTTATCTTTTTTCTTTTTCTTTTTTTTCATTTAGATGGTCAGATGTTAGAAGTTTAAGCAAGGAACTAGTCAATTTATAGATAAACACACATCCCTGGAAGACTATTAGTTTAATCTGATTTAAATACCACTATGGAACAAGACAGAGAGTCTTCTAGAAGTTGTTTTTTCTCTATGTAGATTACAAAGAGAGCACACAGCTGTTACCCCAAAGTTAGTTGTTGAATACTTCTACATTTAATCACTCCTGAATGCCATTCTAGAACTTTAAGGTTTCCTAAGCCTTCATCACTACTTCATTACTAAAAATAATAGTGATCTCATTTTCCAAATAGCACCAAGCCTGATGGAGTTCAAGAAGTGTTTGGACAATACTCTCAAACATATGGTTTATTTTTCATGTAGTTCTGTGGGGAGCCACACAATGGACTGGATGATCCTTGTGTGTCCCTTCCAAGACAGGATATTCTATGATTATATAAGAAGTGTATCTTGTGAATAGCAGAACAACGAAAAACAGCATTAGACTTTTGGTTTCAGGGACAAATACTTCCTTTCAGTATGGGCAAATTGATAACTTTGTGAAGTTGGTCAATAAAGAAAGACTGTATACAAAAACTACATAAACCTTTACTTGTAGATGTGATAAAAGAGTTTGTCAGGTGACACAAAGTGCTCAATCTTCATTTTTTTGTGAGAAGAGGTCTAAGTGGCTTATTGCATGGTCAGATTGGCCAGGATTAATTTCTCTTAGCATTAACCATTTAACTAAGATGACTAAGTTAGGAACCTCCTCATTTATGGATATTTGTGTAGTTAATCAGAAGACACAAGCATCTGTAGAGAGAGTCAGCGCAGCTAAGACCTGAGTTTCTCTTTCAAGGCGTTTCTGTTGACTGCAGGACTCCTGGGAAACAAGCCACTTAACAAAGTAATTGCCTCCATTAGGAAGCATTAATCTGAGCCTGGCAAGGCCAATGTTTTGGTTTGATAAAGACATCATGCATCCTCCTTCTTTTGCCGAGGCACTGTGAAATTCATACCAAGATATGAAAGAATATGTAGATGGTGATTTACAAGAAAGGATTAGAACAACAGTTAGTCCCACAAGGAAATGGGATGGGGATGGAAATAGAGATGGTGGGATGACGGAGGTTAAATATTAAAAGTCTTACCTCCCCGTTCAAGAAACAATAGAGAACAGCAACAACAAAACCCTAGGTAAATGGGAGAGAAAAGAAAAACTAATTCAAACCCTTCAGGAAATACTGGATAACAGCTGGAGTTTAATAAACAAACAAAACGAAGCATACATGTAAGTGCATAAACAGGCAGTCTGAGAACTATGCATCCAAAGCCAGAGTAATGAACAGACAGATCTTTTTTAACAAAAGCAGAATTCACTGTATAATCACCTGGAAAGATCCCAGTCCCAATTCAAACACTAGTCTCTCCCGCTTACTGACATTTTCCGGAGAAAAAGCAAACACCGTGTAGTGAATTCCAAACAAGGGGATAAGCAGTAGTGTAGAGCGAGCCAATCTCCTGTTACAACAGAGTGAAAGAACTTTAATGCAGCCTTGTAATGAACAGCTTGAGCTTTAATTAAAGCAGAAAACACAGAAACTATTTCATCGCTTCCCTTTCGGGAAATAAATACGCCGTATAATTATACAAACAAATATTCAGCATTCCCATTTGTTCCCTAATAGTGATTTCACACACACTGTAGTTTGCTCCCACTTCCTTGTACTGGTACAATTACAGTAAATTAGTAATGTGTTATACTCTCTACTGTTATTTTGATTTGTATTATTGTAAGCAGGGATTTCTTTCTTCATGAAGAAATTAATCTTGGTACAGGATTCAAACTACTACCACAAAACAATAATAAACCACTCACGAAATTGCATAATTCCATTGGAGGGTTTGTCTGGGGGAAAAATAGTATTGATTTTCTTCAAGGTAGTTAAGGAGCTTTATGGAGGACAAGGAAATCTTAAGAAGCCAGAAAGGCCCTCAGAAGTGCTCCACACTATTTTCAAATTCAAATATTCCATTTGCTTACATGTACGAAGTATATTGCAGACTGATTTGAATTGGATCATTACATGCTTTAAAATATCCTAAAAATTATGCACTTTTCTTATGAAGAGAATATCTCCAAGAATTCTGATAACGTCTCCTGTTACACCCAATACTAGAAATGGGACATCAGTTCATTGCCAGTGTCCCTCAGTCATATTTTGGGCACTGATGACAAAAAGCATATAGCAGACCTTGCATCAAGATGGCACTAAACACTAATGATGCCTCAGTCAGATGCAGACCAAATGTCAAGTCTGGGTGAAAGACCCCATAAACAGGAGAGCACAGTTCTCACACATTATCACATTAGACGTTGGCCAAAAGCTTTTTAACAAGAGAAAAAAGAAAACATTGAAGTGAGTTGACATACAGAGTCTCCATCTTTGTTGCCCTCTGAAATATGTTACACGGGAGTAAACCAGAGCAACAGACTGAAAAACCTTTCAAGGTCCCTTCCAGACCTCACACTCCATGAACGTGCAATCAGATTAATGAAAAGGAAGGCTAACACTGTGAAAAAGATTATAGAATGCCATCTCCATAAAGAATGTAAAGAATATAACAGCGTCTTAAAGTAGTAATGGAACACAAAGAAATAGAATGGAGGTAGTAAACTGAATAAATAAGCATTCTTTTTCAAAGTCTATTACACTTTCAGTTCAGAATTAATTACAACAATAAAAGGATAAATGATGCTTCGATTCAAATGTCACAATATTACTGTGAGTTAGTAAGGCTTCTCTCTCTGCAGCCATAGGGGGCTCATTTTGGGAAAGATGCAGAGGAAAGCTCTTTCTATAGTCAGTTTTATGGCATTAATTCTCAGATTAGTCATAGAATTAGTTTGTAGGATCTTGAAATACAATGTCATCATCAACTTGTTTCCGATGTAGTCTTCAACAGCGTCACAGAAGTCATGAAGAAAATACATAAAATGTAAGAAGTAGCACAACCTGAAATTTGCAGATGATTAAGATCCATCATTCTGTGATTCTGTGGTTCATCAAAAGGAAAAGAAGACTTTAATAACAAGAAAAAACTGAGATGTTACTGGAGGCTGTGCTGCTGCTGCTGCTGAACTGTGTTTTTCGAAGAGCATTAGAAAGAAAACAGAATTAAAGCAACCGCTGTGAGATGAGTAAATTTACATACAATGGTGAAATGAGGATGTTAAAGATACAACAAAATTCTCAGGAGTGCAACAGGAGGATGGCATCCTCCTGACTGGCATCCTCTTCCTGTATTCTTTCAGACAAGGAAGGAGCCTGGGGGATAGACTGAAAGTGGTGAGGACAATAATCACTTATCGGGGTTTAAAGGGAAACGTTTGGAAGAGTTGTGTTCACCAGAGGTGTGGAAAAAGCTTTGTTTACACTCCAGTAGGCTGAGGAATGTTTCATAGTTACTTATTAAAGAAAATAATAATTAAAAAAAGGTATATTGCAACTTTTGTTGAGGTGGGCGCTCTATTTTTTCATCCACCCTAAAGAGCATCTTACGAATTAGACTCTCTCCAATAGTATGAAAAGTACATTCCAATAGAACAGTAGTCCAAAAAGTCACAGGCAATGGTACAAAAAGGTATCTTTATAGTAAAAGAAAGAGAAAACAGAAAGGTCATCTAACTTTGACCTGTCTCTGGAGGACCCATGCATTTAGTCTGCCATTACCAGTCCACACTTTTTCAGAGGACTGCGGAAGAGTCTATGGATGTTACACAGGACACAACTAGGAATGAACTGGAAATTGGAAGTGAGAACTCATTTCTTATTGGATTGTAGACTAGAATTGCCAGTGACTTCTACTAAGTGTTGTAGATTGTTCCTACTCCACATTTTAAAGCCCTATTTTAGAAGACTTAGTTATGATGTTATGATCTAAATGAATGTAGTAATTACTGTTACTGAGATCCATATGAATGCAGTAACTATGCCTCAGATGAACAAAATAAATACTTTGAGACACTGCACAAAAGGAAACAGGCACCAATGAGTCTGAATAGCTTCTTCCAGCCTCTATGAATGTGACACAACAAATGTATATCTCAAATTCACAGCTGTAGATACAACTGTAAGAAAATCTGGTTTGGATATGTAGGATGCTATCTAGCATGAATGAAGGCAGCTATGAGAAAATACGAGTCTTCTACACCAAGGGGACCTGTAGCTCCAGAAGTGATTGTGTGAGGAGATCTGTGGTTTTAGTCTTGTTTCCATCACTGAGATGGAGAAAAGTACAGCTCAGAGCAAACTCTCCAGATATTCCCATCACACTGAATCTGTGTCTTGTGCCACTTCTACTGGGACTGGAGGTGCTTCCACTGGGCTAATTTTGACTTCAAAACATTGAAGCAGTCACAGACTGTCAAAAGAAGTAAAATATCTTTAAAACCACAGACTCTGAAGAAGGACTATGTACTTATGCTATTTGGGAAGTAAGAACTGTCTGGTTTAAGTGCTATGCCTTCAGTGGAATTAATTTGGCCAAACATAAGCTTTTGGAGTGGTGAAATGAAGGCTTGTGGTGGTCATGTTGTACAAGGTTTGTGACAGAAAGTTTTGGACGCACACAAAATTGATCTCCATGTTTAAATTATTAATGTAATGTCTTTAAGGCCTATGCGGAGGAATAATGCACTTCCAAGGCATAGTTCTTGTCTGTTACAGATGTCTCTTTAAGTATCAACTCCTGCTGTAAATTCCACTGATATATATTGAATGCATCTATTTATCAGAATGTATCTATTAAAGTTATTTAATATTTTTAGGTAAATTAATTCTACACTTGCTTTCCCCTTACTGTCAGTAAAGAGGAACAGGCACCTATCTGTATGGATGAATTATCTCAAGGCCTTAAAATATCCCACCCTATATTTCTCCACTCACTATAAAGGGGATCTAGACTGAGTTTGTGACATGAATTGTGATACGTTGACTTGTAATATTTAAATTAGAAGAGTTCTATAACTTTGGTGCTAACTCGGTGATGAATACATACAAAATTTCTAGCAAGAGTGTTTCAAATAGAAAGATAAAGAACAAAACATGAAGATACAGGATGCCATTGTTTGTATTATGCTTAGGAGATCTCCTGTTTAATAAACCAGAGTATCTACTTTATCTAAAGAATGATAAGATCGGTTAAAGTGACTTTCAAGAACTTTCGTATCCTCCCTGATAGATATGTGTCCCATCTGGAAGCTTAATTACATCTACCTGACTTTTTAATATCTCAGGAAACATCTAAACATATTGATCGTGACTTAATTCTTCCATGAATAAATCACATCTTCAGCCCAAGGGCTTGAAAAGTAGTGGAGGGTTATGGAAATTTTCATTTTGGGCTATGAAAAAGATGATTTAATTGTGTTTATGAGAAGGGCAGAGAGTTTTTTCTGGCCTTCTGTATAGGCTGAACTCCTCCTGCTGTTCATCAGGTAGAGAATTCCACCTCAGAGAGTTGTCAGTCCTTCTTCACATGAAGTTTGTTGCCCTGCAAAGGCCCAACATGAAGCTTAAAATTGCATCGTTATGCAGATTAAGTGATGAAATTTATATTTAAAAGTATCTCCTCCTGAATGTACATCCTATTTTTAGCACTGCTTCTGTTAGATTCAAGCTTCTCTCCCTGAAGAAAATGCACCTGCTGACTGCTTGTCTGTTAGTTCTTACTTCTTTTCTTCGCTTTCGCACACTATCAGATCGTTGACCGAATCTTTTCATCATCTTCACTGATCCATTTCTTAACTATCTTGAGGAGGTGGAAAATCATAAACAGCAAATGCCCACTTTCATGCTTAGAATGGGCTTTGTTAGTGGGTAGACTAATAAAATTAAGCAGCTACAAGTTATCAAATATATCTTTTTCCTTAAAGATGTCAGCAAATTCTGTTCTTCAGAGAAATGCTGTCCTTGTGGATCACTGCAGCAGGAGATCCCTGAGTTGCTGCTCTGCATTCATAAGCCTGCAGTAGAATTCAGGAGGACATCCATCGCAAAGCACACAATGTAAGAGATTTCTGGAAGGTACCCATCTCATCTAAATGAGTCCTGTGGGCTTCTGGCACAAGTAACAGAGAGTAAGATGCACAGTGAGAAAGTGATTAATTCTTGCCTCCAAACTAATGCATTTTTTCACTTTTATGGCTGCCTTACCCTCCTTAGGCAAATCTCTGCAATGACCTCTGACTAGACACTGCATGTCAAGTTAGTGTATTAAGTTAATATTCAGTTAACCATAGTTTATCTTCATTTCTGGGTGTATACTGTCAAAGCCTCACTCCATTCCACAAAAATAAGCTGTTTTCCAGGTGAGAGTCTGATTCAATCAATCCTGCTCTACCCACGTTGTCTAGAAAACTTTGGGTGAAACATTTCCTCTCAGTATGACCAGAGATCAACATTTTCCTGTATAATAAAGAGCAACTATTAATAGTTTCTATACAGGCACTATCCATAAGAAGCATCAGAGATCATCACAAAATTAAAAAAAAAAAAAAAAAAAAAAAAAGCCTTAAAATCCTTGATCATGGTGCATCAGCAAAAGCACAGTGTAACAAAAAATTCTACATGCAACAAGAACCAAAGGAGTGCTTGCTCTCCAGTTACTACCACTCTGCTCATATCAAATCATTTACTTGCAACATGCGTCATACAAACACAGTAATGTCACAGGATTGAGTACACTTACAGGGTAATGGTTGATAGTTCTGACATCTTGCAAGAGTGCTGGTTAGCCCTCTTAGGCTTACAGTAGCATTTCTGAACGCAGCTGCTAAATATGACAAGATTAGCATTTTTTTCAGCATATTGTGAACAGGCCAAGGTAGGTCACTTTCAACATATTTCATGAGACAAATCACAAAGATGGAAAGCGGACACGACAGGATGGAATTACAGCACAAACCAGCTGCTCGACAAAGCGAAAAAGAAACAAATCAATGTGAAAATAAAATGCACTGGCAACTGAGATGCGCTGACTCACAGACAAATCAAAGATGGAACAACCTGGAGGCAGGCGGGCAGTGTTACATGTCCAAAATACACATGGCCTTTGCTGTCCAGTAGTGTACAGAGGGTAACAGAACAATATATTAAATGAAAGTTGACTGCACGCTTGTGGAGAACATTAAAATATAACATAAACTTGTAGGATGGAAACTAATCTAAGGTGAAGTTAGATCAGCTGCTCTTCATTTTCACGCATAGGTACTCATGGTGGTATGAATCTCTTTTTAAGACACTTAGCTGAGGGCATCACAGCACTTCTTTGCCCAGCTTTCTTGACGTATGAGCTCAGGATGCAAACTGTCTCACTGCTGATTCAGAGGTACCTCTTATTTTTGTCTCACACTCTAAGAGAGTTGGGGTGATAAAAGCAGCAGGCTCACACAGTATGGACCAGGACTATGATCCTAGCATGCTGCGCTCTAGAAAAGGCTACTATGGAGTATGGAATGTTTACATTTAAAATTAGCCAGACAGAAGCTAATCTGACTCAGCTGCTAAGAAGGGTAATCTTGGAACAACATGGGAAAACACTGTGAAGGATGTGAGGGAAAGATATTTCCCAGCTGTTAAGACAGACCAAATGAGAATTGAAAACAGGAATTTGTTATTGACATTTACAGGGGCATTATTCTTGCTTGTTTTGTTCTCAATCTATGGCTGCTTTGGTGGAATTCACCTCAAGGAAGGTCGGAGGTCTAGGTGAGCTCGACATTCTTGTTCCATGGAGAATCATCAAAGGGAGAATCATCACACGTAGCCAAGAGAGAAGTACACACTTGTTGGTCAGGATATGTCTGCCTTATTCTGGATGTTCACTTTAGAATGGGATGGACAAGGTCCAATAACTGCCCTGACTAAATCTCCATTGATTACAACAGATACTCTGCCTACAAGGCAAGCATCTGTCTTTATTCAGATAAACCAAACTCTGTTTTTGCTGCTCTGCTAATATGCATGCTCTAAGATTTGTGTTCACTCAGACATAGATGGAAAAAGCACTTTATAAGTTGAACCGTGAAATAAAACAAATTGAAAACAATTTAAGCTTCGGTCCACTGTCAACACTTCTAAGTAATTTCCATTTAATGGAGATTTTTTTTGATTTGGTTTTGCTTTTCCTTTGGAGCAATCAACAACTGACATTATTATTAGATATCATAGCTTAAGAGGTGGAAAAAAAAAAAGTACAGTATTGTGGAACACAAAGATTCAGCAGACAGAAAAAAATAATTGTGTTTCAATCTGCTGAAAGAATCTCTTTTATTGGATAAAGTTGAAAAAGTAAATACAAAAAAGACTGTTCCTTCTACAGAATCACGTCTGTGATAAAGTTCTGCAGTTCTGCTATCTTTTACCAAGCCGTGCATTAATTGATATTTAAGACTGATTGAAAGTGGGGATGATATTTCAGAGAAAGTTTCTCTTCGCTATGGCTGAGACTTTCAAAAGCAACAATGGATTTTTGTCTCATTTTTGGATCACCTCATCTGAAACACATTTTATCAAAACAACTGTGACCACCTGAGAGCTTCTCAGCATGTGCTGAGAGCTAAAGCTCATGGAGGTGTTTTACAGTACATAACTTGAAAAGGAACTGCCTGAAATCAACAATCATTTCTAAAAATCTCAGTCATGGGGTGCTGTGGTGGAATGTTTTCTTCAATGACATTCTTAAGTTGCAGAGGTAATCTGGAACAAAAAAATCTCCATTGATTAAGACCTGTTCCTTTATTGATTATGCCCTGTTTTACATGGCAAGGTTTGATTTTCATCACAGTGAGTATAACTACCTTGACAGCATTTGTTTTTCTGATGCAATTACCAAAAAATGAGACTTGATTCTGTAAATAACTATTACTCTACTGCCAATGAGGTTAAATTCACATGTGGGCTCATAATGGAAAACTACCTGTTTAGGAAAACACTAGTATTTTAGCAGGCTGTTAGTATTGCTTTCTAATTCTTATCTAACTCGTTTTGAATCATCTCCACATCGACCGAGATTAAAAAATCACCCAAAATCTTGAGAATGCAGAACTGACAGAAGTTTTCCTCTTTTTTTTCCCCCCACTTTTAATTGTTCTATTATTTCTTTATTTTTAAGCAAAGTTGAAACACTGATGGAAAGAAAGGGAAAAAAGAGGGAAGAGACAGAGGAGTCAGGAAACAGAAAGGAGAAAAAAATTAGCAAAATAAGAGAAAAATTAATATACATGAGACTACGGAAATCAAAACATTAGACAAATTAGGGCAGGATTCTCAGATCTCTGTAGGCATAGACATAATGGAACTGGTCACATCTAACTACATGTGACTAAGAAGGATTTGAACCATCTCCTTTATCTCACTCAATCACAGAAAGAATTGAGCAGTTCCAGAGGTCAGGTTGACCTACGCAACAGAGGTGTCTAAGACATACAGGATGCATTGTCTTATGGAGGTGCCCTGGTCTCCCATTTTGACCATAGACAACAACTAGACTGCTCAGATTAAATACGAGACTTTAGACAGCTAAAGGCAAACAAGCTGAGTCTCACCGCATGTGTCCTGTGCATGGACTGCAGCTGCATCTGGGAGGAAGAGGGAGGGTGCTAGGGTGGAAGGGGAAAGAAAATGTTAAACATTCCCAGGATGAAATGAGTGATGCATGATGTGGCTGAAGACCATCTTGTCAGACTGAACACCCTGCTGCTGTTAATGGAGATGAGACCGTATACAAATTTGAGGCTGTTGCAATTCAGTCAAGGCTTTGCAGGTTTCTCAGGGGTGCTTAAGAGAGCTAACATGAGAATGCTGATTCAGAGGAACAATTGTTCATTTAAACCAAGGCTTTGTTGCTACATAATGAAAAATCAGGGTTCTGGGTTTAGGTCATTAATAAAACACGGGGAATGGCAGTTTGTGGCTTTTCTCTGAATATGCTGAAGGTAAAGCCCTTGGGAAAATAGAATAAACATAGAAATTAAAACTGTGTCTCACTAAAAACCTTTCTGCACCCTGCTCAAATACTTCTACATAACCTCACTACAGATAGGATTAGCACCCTGGGCATTGAAAATGAAAAAAACACAAGGTGTAGTAGTAGGAAAGGAATGCAGAAACGAATCAGTGAAATAAAGTACTCAAAATGCAGTACAAAACTAAAGTAGAAATTTTGTATGGTAGAGAAAATAGAAAAACAAAACGATACAAAAAAAAAGCAACCCTGCCATCTAATACTCATGCTTAATATTTTCTTCAATTTTTTTTCAATTGCTACTTGATAGCTAAGGAATTTTTGCAGTGAGTCCAAAACACAAAAGCTACCTTTAGAGAAATCCTGAATTTACAGATTGGATGTGGGCAGAAAACAAAGGCTGTGCAATTCCACCTTGCAGCAGAGGCACAGCAGGCAAGTGGACTCATCCACCACCCTCATCCAGACACAGAATGAATAGCACTGGTGCTTTTCTGTAACACTGTCTCATCTCATCTAACTTTTGAAGCTTACATTATAGATATCTGCACCTAACTTTGTCATCCTGTGCTCAATTTGCAGTCCATGGTGAGAAACAGACTATAAAGCCCGATTTGTCAGGCCTAATTTAAACATCTTGTCTATAACAAAAGGAGTTGTAATCAGTGGCTTTCTTAATGAACTGGGTAGATTTCTACTGACTGCTCTGAATCAAGCTCTACAATTGAAAACAAGTCCAAAAGTCCAAGTCCAGTCATGTTTTGAAGACCTATTTACATATGGATCTACTTATTGCTGAAACGATTAAACTGAAAAACTAATTCTTGACATCTCTAAGGGATCTGAGATACTCTAGGATCATCTTCTGACTCATGGGAACTATCTGGAAACAAGTCTGGATAAAAAAGGCAAAGTATTACATCTCATTTGCACTCTGTCCAGATAAATCAGTTGACCATAATGGATGTAGAGTTTTTCTTATTTTTTTTTTTAACCTGGCTTCTTGGTCTCTTGCTCTTTGAGGGATCTTCCATTTGTTTAACATCAGGGAAGTCAGTTTCCTCTTTCTTTTCTGTTCTGAGGAGGGTGTCTTAAACAGCTCAGTAGATTTTTCTTTTTTTTTCCCCAGTGATTTGGAGGAACATAAAGAAGATTTTTGTTTTTTGGTTCTATGTACTTTCAAAGGCAATGAGCTTCAAGATGAAAACTGAGCCCTGCAGGAATTCTCAGAAGATTGTTCAATGGATTTCAAAACTCCCATACATACAGAAAATGTGGAGAAAAAAGTTCCACCGAAAGTAGATACAATCATTGTAACTGAAAGCCAGTATGGCAATTACAACCAAAAAAAATGACATGGAAATGGAACGTCTGTGAGGAAACCACTGTCACCTCTCCAGAGAATGAGGCTGGATTACTGATTGCAGACCAGAGATGCAGTTGAAAAGAGATGTTAAACAATAAGGAATTGAAACTCGAACTTCTTGGTCAATAATTCTGACTTTTGCCCAGAACTGAATCTTGAAGATGAAATGTAGTGGTCAAAGAGTGCCAAAAATCTACTCTACCCTGCTCGTTCTTGACTTTGCTAACACCTATAGGTGGTCATACAGGGATGGAAAAGTAATTGTCATGCACAGAGCTCAGAAAGTGAAGAGATAAAGCTTAATGTTTAAGTGTGCTCTATAGAAGAATCTTGGTACTAAAGGATAGAATATTTTCATCAAAAATAGACTTTAAATAATCTGTAACTTCAAAGTTACAAGCTCTGATCCTTCTTCTATTTTAATTCTGCAGACCATATTTCC